AGCCACAGTTACAGCCACAGAGGCCGACAGCAGCCCTGGGGCCTAAAGCCACATCGACAGCCAGAAAGGCTGGCACCAGCCCTGGGGACCAGAGACACAGCATGAGAGGCTGGAACCAGACCAGGGACTGAAAGCCACAGCCACAGCCAGCGAGGCCGGCACTGGCCACAGGGCCTGAAGCCACAGCCCGGGAGGCCGACATCGGCCCCGGGGCCTGAAGCCACAGCCAGAGGCCCGCACCGGCCCTGAGGCATACAGATGTGCATTCCTAGTGCTGCTGCTGGTTCCCTGGGACTCCACTGACCACCATGAGGCCGTACTGGTCTTTCCTGGTTTCTATTGGGCTGCACAAAGTCATCCTCACTTCTCCGTTACTTTACTTCAGATAACCCCATTGGGTGACCCCAGTGTTTATTTCCCAAAAGCTGGATCTGGGAGGCGTCCGTTTCCTTCCCTTGTGATGAAGGCACAGAAGCCATGCGGGCACTCGCTGAGGTCACAGTGGTTGCTGGGCTTGGAGCGTTTGTGCCACAGCTGGTGAGCAGAGCTGGTGCTCTGGTGAGCGTGCTGCACGCAGACTGAGCTGTGAGCCTTCCTTGGAGCAGATCACCTGTGAGAGCCCGTCAGAAGCACCGCTGCGGCGTGTGTGTGAGCTGGGCACAGCTCCGGCTGAGCAGTGACCAGGTGAGCTGGGTTTGGTGCCGGCTGCTTGCCGGGAGCTGTCTCAGCAGGAAAACTGGGCTGGGGAGGAGTTCCCAGCTTCAGCAGTGCCCCTCAGCACGGCTGTTTCCAGGGGAAATGGGTTCTTGTTGCGATTCCATCCCACGTTTCGGAGAGGATGATGAAATGTCATTCCTCCCCTGGTCAGTTGCTGCCGGGCCTCCGCCTTCATGTCAGACCCTGACAAGGAAGGAGAGCACAAACATTACAGAGTTCAAGTTGTGCCTTGCTGCCCCACGGATGGCTGGGTGCAGAGCTGCTGAGGAGATGGAGAAGAGCACTTGCTGACACAAGCCATGCAGTCAGACACAAGCTGGAGCTTGGGTTGGGCAGCTCTTGCAGCCAGCTGATTTCCAGACATTGCCCTCCTCAAGAGACTGAATTGCGTGCCAGAAGAAAGGTGGGAAAATGCTCCTTCCTCACGATTTGTCACTTGTTGGTACTTTCTGCAGGGTTCCTGTCCAAAAGGAGAGTTTGGGGATCGAGGCAGTCTGAGGAAGAGTGAAGCCAGCTCTTTCCAAGAGCGGGGGAAGTTCCTGCGGAGAGAGCCCTCGGAACTTCAGCTTCCTCTGACACTTCACCGGTCATGTCTCAGCAAGGAGAGGACTGCTATTCCTATTTCTGCCTTGTGAGTGGAAAGGTATGGCTGGGTGTCTTTTGCGTAGTATTTCTCCTTTTTTTCTCACTTTAAGTGAAGGGCTGTGGCAGGAGGAGCCCTTTTGGTCCTTTGTGACCTCAGTAAGTGGTTGGATTCTGCGCTCACTGCTGACAGCCTGGGCTAATGATGTGGACATGGCTCAAGCTGCATTTTCCCTCAGTGATAATTAACATCTCAGCACTCTGATATCCTATCTCTGGCACGATCTGGAAGCTCTCTGCAAACCTTGGCTGCTGTTCCCTGCAACGTTTCTTCCTTTCTCTCTTCAGAAGCAGCACGGCGCGGTTCCCGTCGTTTGGGAACAGCAGCCAGCAGGCTGCCAGAGATCCAACTGCGCCTTGCAGTGCACAGAGGGATGCGATGGGGACGGACCGTCCTTCCTGCCAGGCAAGAGTGAGTTTCTTCAGTCCTCTGTCATGAAGGATGGATGGATGAATTTTGAGAATTGCTTCTGGGCGGGTGCAGTGCTGCAGGAGATGTCGAGCCACCACCCATTTGGATGCAGGAAGGAGCAGTGAGAAGTGAACTATCAGTGTGTGTTTTGGCTGTCAAAATAGCATCTTTCTGTTTTCTGGGGGGACATGGGCTTACTGGACAATACTTCTGCTGCTTGCTGGTGTCTGTGAAATCAACACACAGTCTGTTGTTGTAGGGACGGAGCCTGCGCGTCCATGGAATGGTGCAGGGCAAGGAGGGAAACGGAAAGCCTCCACTGGTAAGAAGCTCTTGTGAGCTGTGGTGTGGGTACCTGCCTTTAAATAGGGCTGCGTGAAGGGCAGTGTGTGTGAGGGAGGGGAGAGGAAAGGGCATGGCAGTTCTGTGCTGACTGCAGAACTGGCACAACGTTGGAACAGCAGAAAGGCAGCTTGAAGAACCTGCTCTCGAAGACCAGAAGTTTGTGGTTGGCTGTGCTCAAACCTTCCTCCACGGAGATGCTCTTCATGTCTTTGTTGTCTCCTTTCTGTCAGAAGCTGATGCAAGCTGCCTTCCAGCAAAGTGCAGCCATGTGGAAAGCCAGGGGAGGAGCACAGGATGTGGCACAGCACCCAAAAGAGGTACAGACACACAGCAGGCATCTGGGTTTGGTGCGCTGCATTTCTAGTTAGGCTTTCTGCCTGTTCTTTCCTGGGACTGATCTCATTGCTTGTTGCTTTGGGTCTTAATCCCTGGGCTTTGCAGTTACCTTTCCTGTCCTGATTTGTAATGGGAACCCAACGTTCACCCGAGATCCCTTACCGTGAACATGGTATGGGAGAGCTGGCATTGAGCCTTTGGGATTTTCTTGCTTTTCCCAGCAGTGACGGATGTGCCGGAGGACATCATGGACATTCAGGGTTTGCTCTCTTGGATCAATGGTGAGTTTGGAGGCTGCGGAACCCTCAGGTGTGTGTTTGCACCGAGTGGGTGTGGGAAGGTTATCATCACCGTTTTGGGGGATGTTCTTGCTTTTCCAGAGGTGGCAAGAGCTGTTGAGGTCCCCCATGAGAAGCACAGCAGCCCTGCCCCAGAATGCCTCATCGCTGAGCTCCCTGACGAGCCCAGGGACAGCAGAGAGCTCAGCACGGAGGCACAGGCTGCCACCAGGACCCCCACCGACCCCTTCTGGGGGCTTCCACCATCCCCTGGGTTCCTGCCTGAGCTGCAGTGTGGGTTGTCGCAGCTGCACCCCGTCATGCCACCAGCGAGTGCCCGGCTCAGCCCACGGCCGACCACCCTGGCTGTCAGCACACCTCCCAAAGCAGCCCAAAGCACACAGCCCATCAAGGAGGTGCAGCACAGGCAGCCCCAGGAGGTTCCGGCAGAAAAGAAGAACAGGGGCAGCACCAAGCGGGCCAAGCGCCCTGCGCCTGCTGGCACCTCCCAGAAAGGGGAGAGCTCCCAGCAGGAGCAGCCCAGCAGCAGCGCCCCAGCCAAGAAAAGGAAGCTGCCGCCATGCAAAGAAAGAAGAGAAAGACAAGGCCGCAAACACCTGGGCCAAGTGAAGCTGTGTGGGGCCAGCGCAGGAGCCAGTGGCAGCGGGCAAGCGGGCACTGCCAGCGAGCTGCGCGTGCACTTGTGCGAATCCATCCGGGCCGTGCACC